AAGTTGCCAGTGTTGGTACTGAAGACATGGGAATAAATAATTTCCTTTTCATCTTTTCTTCCCTTTGCTCCTCCAGCATGCTTGGTTCCATAATAAACATTCCCTCTCAAATGATCACCACGTTGTGTAAGACGAGTGGTCTGGTTTATCTCCACATTTACGTATGTATTGGCTTTCTCACACTCACTCTTTCTCTCTCTTCCCCTCCCCCACCAACCACCCCCATCCTCCTCTCTCTTCTCTCTCTGGTTGCCTCTTTCTCTCTCTCTCCCTATAAGAAAACGTTGCCTACAAGCTTTTAGACTTAGCAAGAAAATAGCATACTCAGCTGGGCAGTGGCTCATGCCTGTAATCCCAGCATTTTGAGAGGCTAAGGCAGGCAGATCACTTGAGGTCAGGAGTTTGAGACCAGCCTGGACAACATGGCAAAACCTCATCTCTACTAAAAATATATTTTTAAAATTAGGCGGGCCTGGTGGTACGTGCCTGTAATCCCCGCTACTTGGGAGGTTGGGGCATGAGAATCGCTTGAACCTGGGAGATGGAGGTTGCAGTGAGCCGAGATCACACCACTGTGTGAGCAACAGAGCAAGCCTAGGCAACAGAGCCTGGGCAACAGAGAAAGACTCTGTCTCAAAAAAAGAAAGGAAAAGGGAAAGGAAGGGAAGGAAGCCAGCGCAGTGGCTCACACCTGCGATCCCAGCACTTTGGGAGGCCAAGGTGGGCGGATCACTTAAGGCCAGGAGTTCAAGATCAGCCTGGCCAACATGGTGAAACCCCATCTCTACTACATATACAAAATTAGCCAGGCGTGGTGGCACACACCTGTAATCCCAGCTACTTGGGAGGCTGAGACATAAGAATCACTTGAACTCAGGAGGTGGAAGTTGCAGTGAGCCGAGATCACGCCACTGCATTCCAGCCCGGGCAACAAAGTGAAATTCTGTCTCAAAAAAAAAAAAAAAAGAAAAGAAAAGAAAAAGAAAAAGAAAATAGCACACTCAATAGGTGGATGCTCTTCTGACTCTTTGGGGCCTGCATCAAGGATGAAACTTTGTTCCTCGCCCTGTCCTAAAGGGGATATGTGCTGTGGGGCTATCCTGAAAAATTCCATTCAATGTGCCATCTGCAGCCTATCAGCCAAGAGTCAGAAACATCGTGAGGCCACAGCTCCATCTCACCCACCCCCTGGCCAGCCCCTGCTTTCCTGCATTCACCAAAACACTTGCCTCTGTCCCTCAACATTCCTAGAACCTTCACTGTCCTCTGAGGTCAGTGATGTATTTAAAGCACTTGTTTACATCCTGTTCCCATCAGTAAGATTTAATGTAAGATACTCAGAAGGGAAATTCCACTCTCTTTCCTTCTGGGAAATGAGCAGCTACATTGTCCAGACCCAAATCCTTAGCCTAACATTTCTGCCAAAATTCAAAAGTTCATGATTTTACCAAAATAAGGCCACACACATCTTAGGCAACCACGAGTATCTCTTCACATCAATAAGTAAGCTTTTCTTTTTTCCTCCTTGTATAAAAGAAAGGAGTTGGTTTTTTTTTTTTTTTAACTCTTTCATAAAATCTAAGCAACTTGATTTTTTTGTGCTTTTTTAAAATTACAAATCCTTTAACATGGGTAGAGTTGGAAAATATTCAATTCAATGAACATTAAACAGCTCAACAATGTCCCCTGGTGGCCATGAGCACAGAGAGAGGGAACTTGAGCCACTAAAGCTCTATTCAGCCTACAAAACAAGGTAGGAGTAAGTGTCTCATCAAAATGAAACTCCCTCGCCTTAACTCAAAAAAATATGCAATGGTCCTTCAAACCAGAAAAGCACAGCATCCAAACATGATAAAGACCACAGAGTAGGAAATGGAGACGGAATCGCTATTCATTTTAATAAGTCACCACAGAAAGAAATGCCCAAACTGAATACCACTTGTCTCTCCAGCCCAAAATGTGGGGAATTCTTTCTGGTAGCAAGAATTCATTGCCTAACCAGACATCTCCTCAATACCAATATGACCCACTGGCTGTTATTTTAAAATTTTGGGCTGTTATGCTATCTATCAGTACCAATCTTACTCGCTGAGGATTTAATGTAAAACATACAAACAAAAATCACTGTCTTCAAGAAGCTCCTATTTTAGTGGGAGAGAAAGAAAATAAACAAAAAATAAAAAGGTTTTTAGAAAACAAGCTCTAGGCTGGGCACAGAGACTCGTGCCTATAATCTCAACACTTTGGTAGGCGAGATGGGAGGATCACTTGAGGCCAGAAGTTCAAGACCAGCCTAGGCAACATAGGGAGAACCTCATTGCTACAGGAAAAAAAAAAAAAAAAAAAAAAAAACCTTTTGTAACTAACCAGGCATGGTTGCATGCGCCTGTACTCCCAGCTACTCAGGAGGCTGAGGCAGAAGGATTGCTACAGCCCAAGGGCTCAAGGCTGCAGTGAGTTATGATTGCACCACTGCACTCCAGCCTGGGTGACAGAGTGAGACCCTATCTCTAAAAACTAATAATTCATATTTTTTATTAATATGAAGCTCTATGAAGAAATTTAATCAGGGTAAGTAGATACAGAGTAATAGCGTGGAGGCCGGTGATGGCAGTTGAGCAGGCACCTGAACAACTATGGAGAAGCCATATGTTGACAGTGTCCCGGAAGTATGAACTGCAGATGGAAAAGTCTGGAGGCTGGAAAAACTTTGACCCATTTAAGGAACTGCAAGAAGGCCAGGGAGAAGCAAGAGGTTGCTGTCTTGGATTAAGGTAGTTGTGGAAAAGGCACAGGTGGGGAGAAGTGGTTGAATTCAGAATATATTTCAGACAGCAAGCCAACAGGGCTTGTTGACAGATGAGAAATTTGGGGATAGCATAGAACTAGTTGGGACTTCGTTTTGGCCTAAACAATTGGGTGAATAGGAATGCCAATAACAGACGGAGAATAACTGGTCAGAGACAGAGAAGCCTGGGTGGAAATAGATTTGGGGATAAGGGCAGAGGTGAGAAATCACAAGTTCCATTTGATTTGCCTATTCGATGTTCAATAGGACATGTGTAGAAGATGGGTGGATATATGGGTCTGGTGCTCAAAGGAGAGGCTGGGACTAGAAATTGGTCTTTGGAAATCCTCTGCATATAGGTAATATTTATAACCATGAGACGGGTTGAGATTACCTAAGCAGAAAGGGTAGATAATGAAGAAAAGGAGGCTGAAGAGGGGTCATGAAAGAAGATAGAGCTAGCAAAGAAGACTGAGAGGGTACAGCAAGGCAGAAGGAACCAAAACCAAGGGAGAGGGGTTTTTAAGAGGGAGGGAGTGTCAACGCTATGGAGAAAATCAGATAAGAACAAAACTGGCCATTGGATTTGGCAAGATGGCGATGAAACGAAGAGCCTTTCAGTAAAGCAATGAAGACGTACGTTTCCCACATGGGATGAGTGAAAGTGGGAAAAGAAGGTAGGGATGTAGAGCCTACAGAACAGCCATTTCTTTCAAGGAGTTTTCATAGAAAGGGACAGAAAGAAGGCAAAGTAGCTGAAGACAAATATGGGCTCAAAGAAGGTCTGTTCATTTTTTCTTTCTTTTCATTAGTAAGGGAGACATGCTAGGTAATGCTGGGGATAATTCTGTATTGAGGGGAAGTGCTGATTGGGGAAGAAGGGATGGGATCTAATGCACAAGTTGAGGGGATGGCAGCCTTACACGGGAGCAGGGACAGGAGGGGAGGCAGAACAGGGGATGCAGGGAGGAACGGCAGGGCTGAGGGTGGGAAGTCCTCACCTGACTACTTCTAATTTCTCAGTGAAATAAGAATCAAGAAGCTAATACGCTTAGTATTTGCTCAGAGCATGTATGAAGTGGGGGTCACAGATGTGAAGAGGGAGGAGAAAATGAGTGGAAAGTGAATTTACTGGGGCCCTATAGCAAGAGGACTGCAATCATTGTCCCCTGATAGTAATCTCCTTTTTTTTTTTTTTTTTTTTTTGAGATGGAATTTTGCTCTTGTTGCCTAGGCTGGAGTGCGATCTCGGCTCACCACAACTTCCACCTCCCAGGTTCAAGCAATTCTCCTGCCTCGGCCTCCCAAGTAGCTGGGATTACAGGCACCCGACATCATGCCCAGCTAATTTTTGTATTTTTTAGTAGAGACAGGGTTTCACCATGTCGGCCAGGCTGGTCTCAAACTCCTAACCTCATGTGATCCACCCTCCTCAGCTTCCCAAAGTGCTGGGATTACAGGTGTGAGCCACTGCGCCTGGCTAGTAATCTACTCTCAAAGCACTTGCAACAGGATGCCAACCAAATATTACTGAGAAAGAAACAGCCACAAGCGTCTTTTGTTTAAGTATGAAATATTTTAAATGCTTTAAATATCCAGAAAGTATATAACCAACACCATGGACACACCACTCACATTTCATCAATGCTACATTTTGTTTCAGGTATCTTCCCCTCCCCTGCCCCGTAGACCTCCCCTGTGGTTATCAGGTATCTTTTTAAGAATAAAACATAACAGGCTGGACGCAGTGGATCACGCCTGTAATCCCAGCACTTTGGGAGGCCGAGGCAGGCGGATTTTTTGAGCCCAGGAGTTCGAGACCAGCCTGGGCAACATAGTGAAACCCGTCTCTACAAAAAATACAGAAATTAGCCAGGCATGGTGGCGTATACACCTATAATCCTAGCTACTCAAGAGGCTGAGGCGGGAGGATCATTTAAGCCCAGGTCAAGGCTGCAGTGAGCCATGATCGTGCCTCTGCACCCCAGCCTAGGAGACAGCAAGACCCTGCCTCAAAAAAAGAAAAAAGAATAAAACATAACAGTCACAGTTGCAAGCGCCTTAAGGCACCTCTCCAATTCCATGTCCTTCCTCCTCTCTCTGTTAAAGTTCATTATATAATGATAAAAAGCAACAGTGTTCCTCTTTATCAGGACCTATGAACAATTCTGTGGTAACTTCATTAATCCAAATGCTGTTATTCAAGATTTACCTGTTATCTGGGTTGTCAGTGAGATGACCACAGGAAGTTCCGAAGACAGAGCCCGGAGACTGACATTGTAGTCAGTACCCGGATGCAGGTCCAAGCACACCTCGGGATCTCGGCTGCTGCTACTGATATTAAAGGTCATTTCCTGGGCAAACTCCTTCTGATACCATCTCTGGCCCCAAATGTGGAACTGAAACATAAAAAAGCTCACTGGGTGAAAGCTTAAAAGGCTTTAGATGTCTTGAAACCTCCCCCTTTTCTTTCTTTCTTTTCTTTTCTTTTCTTTTTTTTTCTTTTTAAGATGGGGGCCTTACTCTGTCACCCACGCTGGAGTACAGTGGCACCATCTCGGCTCACTGCAGCCTCAACCTCCCAGGCTCAAGTGATCCTCCCTCCTCAGCCTCCCACATAGCTGGGACCACAGATGCATGCCACCACATCCAACTAATTTTTGTATGTTTTGTAGAGACAGGGTATCGCCATGTTGCCCAGCCTGGTCTCAAACTCCTGAGCTCAAGTGATCTGCCCGCCTCGAATCCCAAAGTGCTGGGATTACAGGCGTGAGCCACCACGCCCAACCCCTTCCTGTTTTCATAAGCTTTCTTCCTCTCTCTCTGTCTCTAGACTCTAATGTCTCTTCAAAAGGTGAAATGCAGCAGTAAGCAAATATTAGAGTTGCAATGCTATAAATATTGTACTTAAAATATTATTCGTATAATAAATATATTTTTAAATAAAAACACACAAAAGGCTGAGGTCCCAATACTGGCAACTTTCTCCTTCTTGTTCTCACACACACAGTGCACATACCCAACAAGAAAGTCTATTGGCAAAACGGCAGGAACAAGGACAAGAACATTTTCCTAGAAAGAATATTAGGAATCCAAACTAAGCAGGACCTGAATTAGGATACTTGTAGCTGGTCTGGTAGAACCTGAGAAGGGTTTTTCTCCTCTGCCTGCCCGCTTCTGGTGACCCTACCCTTTCCTTTACCACCCTGACACGTTGGCCAAGAGCCACCCTTTTGTTCTCACTTAATTTCTTGTAGTGGAAGCTCATGCCAGTCTTCCCCTACGCCCCTTTTTTTTTTTTTTTTTTGAGACGGAGTCTCGTTCTGTCACCCAGGCTGGAGTGAAATGGCACAATCTCGGCTCACTGCAACCTCTGTCTCCCAGGTTCAAGCAATTTTCCTGTCTCAGCCCCCCAAGTAGCTGGGATTACAGGCCCGTGCACCATGCCTGACTAATTTTTGTATTTTTAGTAGAGACAGGGTTTCACCATGTTGGCCAGGCTGGTCTCAAACTCCTGACCTCAAATGATCCACCCACCTCAACCTCCCAAAGTGCTGGGATTATAGGCATGAGCCACTGTGCCCAGCCAGTCCTTCCCTTTCTTACTCACGACCACATCGAGCCTCAAAAGTTCCCCTTGGCTCTCTAGATAACACATCCATACCCTGGTCAGAGACACTGATAAGGACACAGACACACATGCATAAGCCACAGGACTCCTTCCATGGACACTGCCTGAGCATCAACAGCACCAATACAGGAGCACAAAGAAATTCGCGGCCAGGCGTGGTGGCTCATGCCAGAAATTCCAACACTTGGAGGCCGAGGCAGGAAAATTCATTGAGGCCAGGGGTTTGAGACCAGCCTGAGAAATATAATGATACCGTGTCTCTACAAAAAAATTAAAAGCTTAGCCAGGTGTGGTGGTGCACACCTGTAGTTCCAGCTACTCAGGAGACTGAGGCAGGAGAATCACTTGAACCCAGGAGTTCAAAGCTGCAGTGAGTTATGATCATGCCACTGCACCCCAGCGTGAGTGACAAAGCGAGACCCTGTCTCTAAAAAAATGAGAACACATGGACACAAAGAGGGGAACAACGGACACAAAGAGGGGAACTCCGGGGCCTACTTGAGGCTGAAGGGTGGAAGGAGAAGAGGATCAGAGAAAAATACCTATTGGGCACTATACTTACTACCTGGGTGACAAAATAATCTATACACCAAACCTCCATGAAACCTTAGGCCAGGCATGGTGGCCCCCACACAGTATACCTATATAATAAAACTGCACCCATACCCCTGAACCTAAAAGTTATATAATTTAAAAAAATAAAAATAAATTTCAAATGTTGAAAACAAAAAAGAAAAGAAGAAATTCTCGTGGCTGTCTCATCTCTCCCCAAGGTTTCCTTTTTTTTTTTTTTTTTTTTTTTTTTGAGACAGAGTCTTGCTTCGTCACCCAGGCTGGGGTTCAGGGGCGTGATCTTGGCTAACGGCAACCTCCACCTCTCGGGTTCAAGCGATTCTCCTGCCTCAGCCTCCTGAGTAGCTGGGATTACAGCCATGCGCCACTACGCTCGGCTCATTTTTATATTTTTTGTAGAGATAGAGTTTCACCAGGTTGACCAGGCTGGTCTTGAACTCCTGGCTTCAAGTGATCCACCTGCCTCGGCCTCTCAAAGTGCTGGGATTACAAGTGTGAGCCACTGCGCCCAGCCAAAGGTCTCTGTCTTTAAATATCCAGAAGTGGCCATCTTCTTGCTTCTGGATGCAATTGCCACAGTAAATCGTCTATTGATAATGATAGTTATAGAAGTAGATTTTTAGGCTTGTGGGTATTTTTAAGCCTCCCACATAAGACAACCATCTATAAATACAGTAACTTTCAGTCACTTACTAAATACATCTCCTCCATATCAGCTGTCTTGATGCTTCTCCATCTCAAGCAGGTTTCATTAAATCCTGAAATGTTACTGATGGTCTGTTTTACTGCAACGGAAAAGAAACGAGAAATCAATTTACACTCTATAGAAAAAATACTACCTTTTAACTGAGCCATTTTCCAAGGATAAGTGTTAGTATGAGTTCAACAGTATTTTAATTTAGAAATTAGTGGTAGCAGTCTCAAAGAAATGCCACTTTTATATTTAGGTAAACTCAGTCTTGATGAAAGATTTCAGATTCAAAGATAGACCTAATTGGAGGACCCCTCTTAAGAATTATTTTGAGTGGGCCGGGCACAGTGGCTCATGCCTGTTATCCCAGCACTTTGGGAGGCTGAGGCGGGCAGATCGCTTGAGACCAGGATTTCGAAACCAGCCTGGCCAACATAATGAAACAAACCCCTTCTCTACTAAAAATACAACAATTAGCTGGGCGTGGTGGTGTGCGCCTGTAGTCCCAGATACTTGGGAGACTGAAGAATCGCTCAAACCTGGGAGGCAGAAGTTGCAGTGAGCAGAGATCATGCCACTGCACTCCAGCGTGGGCGACAGAGTGAGAATCTGTCTCAAAAAAAAAAGAAAAAGGAAAAAAATTATTTGAGTTTATTTACTGCAAACTTCCTTGGCTTACTAAGCTAAAATTGTAACTCTTTGTCCTGGACCTTGTATACCCTCATTTATACAAATAAGTGTCGGTTTGAAATTCTGAGCTGAGAGCAACATTTCAGCAGAGAATTGCTCCTTGAGGAACTGAAAAAAGTGCTTTCAAGCCATCAGGTTTTTCATGAAGAAAAGAATAGGAGGTGGTGGGATTCTCTTGGATTGGGCTTCCTTATCTCTTGTGAGCAAAGTATTTCTTGTCCTCTGCTCAGTTTCTTGGTAATCAATCTAAAAGACAGCTCAGATCTGATACAGTTTAATGTACACCCCTCCTCCAGTAGTCAAGAAAGACTGTTTACTCAAAATCCTGACATCAGAGGTTACTTCCTTCAAAATGATCTCTGTCCCTAAAGTGGAAATAATAGAGGAGACTCGCTAAGAAGTTTCACAGGAACCCTGGGATGATTAACGAGTGAGAAAGACAACTCCCAAATTACCTGAAAAAAAGGAAGTTCTCATGAAAGGTAAGGCTGTGTTTTGTAACCCCCTGGCCTGACAGGTTCCTACAAATGAAGCCAAGTTGGTAGACATGACCCCTGTCTGTGGATTGGGCAGCTTGGCACAGAGAAAGCCTGCATAGGTCACAAGGTGTACCTCAAATATTGCAACACAGAGAAGGTAGGGAACAGGAGGCAAAGATGAACTGGAGATAAGGAACAGGAGGAGTACAGATGATTCCAGGTAACGCAGCCCCACGGCTGGGTAGAGACAGGTTTGGAGATTAGTAGTAGTGGTCCAAAGTTATACTTCTGAAACTTTCAAAATACAAATAACTCCAATAGTATTTAAAGAGTTCTAGACTATACAAAAAGGTGGAAGGCTCCCCAAATCATTTAATATGACTAAATAATCCACAATGCCCAATATGTGCAAGGATGGCACAGCCAATCACTAAACATCCTATGCCAAATTCACTTGTTAATATAAATACAAAAATCCAAAATAAAATATTAGCAAAAAGAAGTCAGTAGTACATTCAAAGAACAATACACTATGACCAAAGAAGATTTATTCCCAGAATACAGAGAGGATCATTATTGGAAAAGCTATTAATAGGTTAAAAGAGAGAAACCATGTGGTTACTTTTATAATTGGAACTATTAATACATTTAATATACTTCGTTAACTTGAAATCTTAGTGAGCTAGGACTTCATTTGACAGAAACTGCTTAGTTTAATAGGGTTTATAAAAAACCACTACACTCAGTAGTAAAACAATTAAGCAATTTCTAGTAAAGTTAAGAACAATACAAGGATGTCTGGTCTTGTAGCTATTACTGAGCCTCGAATATTCAAGAGATTCTAGACAACGCAGAAAAAGGCAAGAAAAAAAAATGAGCTATAAATGCCAGAAAGTGGAACAAATGATGCAACTGCCAGTAAATCTAAGAGATTCAACTAATCAAATATGAAACTGTTTGAAAATAATAGAAAGGCAACACACAAAAACTGATCATTTTCTTTTTTTTTTTTTTTTTTTTTTTGAGACGGAGTCTTGCTCAGTCTCCCAGGCTGGAGTGCGGTGGCGCGATTTCGGCTCACTGCAAGCTCCGCCTCCCGGGTTCTCGCCATTCTCCTGCCTCAGCCTCCCAAGTAGCTGGGACTACAGGCGCCCGCCACTACGCCCGGCTAGTTTTTCGTATTTTTAGTAGAGACGGGGTTTCACCGTGTTAGCGAGGATGGTCTCGATCTGCTGACCTCGTGATCCGCCCGTCTCGGCCTCCCAAAGTGCTGGGATTACAGGCGTGAGCCACCGCGCCCAGCGATCATTTTCTATCTATCTTCAAGAACAAGTATGGCAGCCTAAATAATGACTCCCATCCCTCACCAGCACGTCTACATCCTAGTCCCTGGAACCTGTATGTTACCTTACACGGCAGAAACACTTTGCAGAGGTGACTAAGACAGTGAGATTATCCTGAATTGTCCAGATGGGCTCAATGTGATTACAAAGATCCTTACAAAAGGACAACAAGAAGAGTTAGAGAGAAGATTCAAGAACGGAAATGAGGTTAAACTGATGAACTTTAAATATGGAGGATGGAGCCACAAGCCAAGGACTACAGGCAGGGTCTAGAAACTGGAAAGGGCATGGAAATAGATTCTCCCATAGATCCCCCCCACCCCTGAAGAAACACAGGCCTGCTTGACACCTTGATTTCAGCTTAGTGAAACACTTCACACTTCTGACCTCCAGAACTATAAGACACTAAATTCATGTTGCTTTTTGTTTTTGTTTTGTTTTGTTTTGTTTTTTGAGACAGTATCTTGCTCTGTCACCCAGGCTGGAGCACAGTGGCCTGATCATGGCTCACTGCAGCCTCGACCTCCTGAGCTCAAGTGATTTCCCTGCCTCAGTCTCTCGAGTAGCTGGGACCACAGGCACAGGCCACCATGTCCAGCTTATTTTTCATTTATTTTAATTTTTTTGTAGAGACAGAGTCTCTATGTTGCCCAGGCTGGGCTCATACTCCTGGGCTCCCACCTCGGCCTCCCAAAGTGCTGGATTACAAATGTCAGCCACTGCATCCAGCCCTCATGTTATTTTCTGCCACTAAATTTGCAGTAACTTGTCATACCAGCAATAGAAAACTAATACAAGTAGCAGAATATAATAGAAAAATAAAAAGTTCCCTATTCATGAGATGGGATATCAAAGCAAACTTCAAATATCTAAAAATAAACCTAACTAGAAATATCCAAAACTTACACAAAGATTTTAAAGAAAAAAAAATTTTTTTTTTGACATGTAGTCTCTCTGTCGCCCAGGCTGGAGTGCAGTGGCGCAGTCTCGGCTCACTGCAACCTCCGCCTCCTGAGTTCAAGCAATTCTCCTGCCTCAGCCTCCCGAGTAGCTGGGACTACAGGCATGTACCACCATGCCTGGCTAATTTTTGTATTTTTAGTAGAGACAGGGTTTCATCATGTTGGCCAGGCTGGTCTCAAACTCCTGACTGCAAGTGATCCGCCCACCTTGGCCTCCCAAAGTGCTGGAATTACATGTGTGAGCCACCACCCCCAGCCGCCACAATTATTTTCTTATCTCATAGGACTATTTTATACTGGTTGAAAAAGCTTTTACAGACCAACATAGATATTAAATTTTAATTGTATAAGACAAAAATATAAGCAAAATTGAGACATTCCTAAAATTTCTTCATGGTCAGTATATAACAAACACTTCTCAATCACTTCTCAATTAAGAGTTATTGGTGTCTATATTTTTCCACATAATAGCATCCTATGAGATATCTATCAGAGTTTGGTGAGGCAGTATTTCTTCAAAATGTGCTCTTTTTTTTTTTTTTTCCAAAACGTTCTCACCATCCACTGACACCCATTCTGATGCTGAAAGTTGCTCTTATACTTTGCTGTTCTGTTCCCATTGTGCTTTACATATTATAACACTGTGTCTCAATGTCAAATCATAACGTAGGTTTTTGGAAAAAGTTTTAGTAGGCAATTGATCTCAAGACATAAATGGCACCACTAATGTCCATAACTAAATACAAGTGACAGCACTATAAGCAACTATGACCAATATGATGCATAGATGGACAATGACAATTACGTTCTTGGCAGCCACCTGACTGTATAACAATTGTAGGATTTCATAGATATCAAAATGTGAAAAAAAATGCCTCTGAGAATCAATAAAACATAACATATACAAGTATATTAACAGTATCATTGACTGTAATAACAAAAACTTGAAAGGGAAAAAAATACCCAAAGAACCTTCTACAGAGAATAAGTGAATAAATTAGTATACCTTCATACGATGGAATACTGTGCTTCCCTCAGAGAGAATGAGATGACATTATATGAATTGATATGGAAGTATATCTACAGGATATTGTAAGGCCAAAAGTCAAAGAATAAAATAAAACAGCAAAATGAAGAATAATATATATATAATTATTTCATTTTTAAAAATTACACACACATATATGCTTAAGTAATCTAACAGTAGTGGTGAGTCTGCAGCTCCTTTTGCTCACAGGAAATGTCTCACTGGCTCACAGTTCAGTTCCACCCGGGTCAGGGAGTGACATTCTCCCTCTAGGTTCCCTTCCCTCCATTCAAGGGGCTTTACAGTTTGAGCCACAGGCAGGTTGAACCCATGATGCGTTCAATGAGGAGAAAAGGATCCCCAGTAGAGCTCATCCCAAGTCCCTTCCTAGTGCTCTCAGATCCTTTGCTATGAAAGATACATGCCACAGTCTCTCATACAAATCTTCCTTCTCTTATACATTTTTAGTGATTACTCTGTGTTCTCTCTTTTCTCCACCCACTGGGCCAATCTAATCTAGAATCTTGAAGTTGAAAAACCAGAACTGCAAGAATGCCTCAAAAAAGAGAAAATTAAGCTCTTAACTAAACTTT